GAAACATCCTGCCATGTCCATCCCACACTGGGTTCGCCTCCCTCATGCCAGCAGGACACTGAACGTCTGGAAGTTTACAGGTTGCCACTCTCTCTCCCTGAGACATGCCAGGACAGCACTGCCACCGTATGTTTCAGGACGCACCTTCTCCGCATTTTGATTGGCTGGCTCTTCCACTCTTCAGTTATGTTAACACAGTGAGGCAGGTCAACGTCACCTCTGTCCAGTCTGTCACACGCGCTCAGGCCCCAAGCCCTGCTACTGCTCTAACATGGCTCTGACATCTCTGTTTGGGTCATTTATACGGTGATTTCACGCGTGCTCTTGTGAAGGCAATCTTACTTCCCTCACTTTCAAGTCCCTGGGAGACGATCACCGCACCTCCCATCGACCGCAGTTTGAACCAGGGGCTGAGGCTGGAAGGACATTGGAAGTAATTCCTCTGGAATACAAATGAGTCTGCAGAATGTTTTCTTGCTCATTACCTACCTCTTCAGCTACAGGAATTTCTTTCGGAGTTAGAGCTCCCAATGGCTTCGGTCTGGCCATAAGATCTAGTCACCTACTTGATGGGTTTTTTCAAATCATCTACCACAACAGTGGTAATTTTGAAGCATGCCAAATCCTTATCCCTTCTACTTCCTTCCTGATGAAAAGTTTCTGAAACTTCCATTGATGCTCAGAAGGTGTTATGGCTTTTAGCACTGCATTCATCTGCTTCTGAAGATCAGGTATTTATTTTTGAGATCTCCATCATGTTGACTTCCTTAAGCTTAACTATGTACCCTTTAGCTATTTACGTGGTGTGGGAGGGTAGTAAGATTTTTTAAAAAGAAGAAGAAAATATCACATTACTACATTACATAATTCTACTAGGTTCTTATCCTTCTAATTGCAGCAGAATGCCCTTAGAACAAACATTAAAATAAACATGGGAACAGGAATGGCAGGTTGAGGAGAGAATAACTGCAAGTGCCTACAAGGCTAGTACCTTTTCATTTTATTGGCACATGGGGCATAATGGCCTTCTGGTTTACTCAACATGTATGTATGTCTCTGGCTGAAGCAACATTTGTATTCTAGAAGAAGCATTGCTATTATACATATATACTGAGCATTGCAGAAACTTCTATTAAAGCTCATGCACACCTGTGCTTCATTTCCTCAGTGCCAGCTTAGCAATGTCTCAGACAGGGACGAGGAATCACAGGCTCCGATGGTAACTATAAAGGGCAACTCACTTGCATCTCTTTGTGCCTCCTCTGTAAAATGAAATGGTTGAATAAGATGATTTCTTAAATTCCTTTTAGCTCTCAATTTTTTATCACTCTTCCTGAATTAGCTCATCTAGTATCTTCCTTCCTTCCTTTCCTTCTTCTTTATCTACCTATCATCTGGTTTATCTTTCCCAAGTATTTTGAGGTTGTTCAGAGGTGGATTTAAGTTAATGAAGTTTAAACATCAGGGTCCCTCACTGAACTCCTTCTAAATAAAAGAATTCAATTTGCTATGTAACTTTATATTTTAATGTTATATTCTTTCTCTTAAAGAGAGCTCTCAGATTTGTATATAATTTACATCCCACAAAATCTGGATTTGCCCCTGGATGGGATAGGAAAAAAGACAAATACAAATAAGAGTATCAAAATAGGAATTTAAAAGGAAGATCTGAGAAAAGGAATGGAAAGAAAATAGGCCAAACATTAAAATGCTAAACAGTTTCCCCAGTTGAGCATCAAGCTGAGCTCTGAGCCTCAGAATTTCATGGAAGGCAAAGCAGTGAGAGGAATTTGTACATTATATAACTCTTACTATCAGAATGGAGGATGTGTTCAAAGACATTTAATGTTAGTATTAACAATTAATATTCATAAATCTTGAACTCTAAGAAATGTCTTAGTGTAATGTTTTATAGGTGAAAAAATCATACTTTGACCAAAAGTAGTATTTTTCACAATGATAGAATCCATTATGGAAACAGGTAATACATTTTTGTTCAAATATACATTGAGCAATTCTGCCATTATCAGGCATTGTCCTGTGCAGATACGCGAGATACAGAAAGGACCAGGACATGGAGCTTGTCCCCTCAGACTTGTCAGGCAAACACATAAACAATTAAAAACTAAGTTGATAAATTGATCATGGAGGCCTGTACAAAGGAGAGAGGAGCTAACTCCTACAGGGATATGGAGAATGAAGGGAAGAAATAACTTCTGAGCTCAGTTTTAAAGGTAAAAATATTCTTTACATAATAGTTGTCACCTCACAGGAAATGTTTAAAAAACTGTCAACATTGCCTAGAAATTTTCTCAGCACAATCTGACTCTCATTCCCTTGGCTTATGGGCAGAGTGCCTGTTGTAAAATAGAATCGCATTCATTGATTCGTTCCTTACAGACCCCAAAGTCACCCCACCTTCCACGAAATGAATTCTTGCAATTCATTTCTAGGTCTTCCTGTCTTATTTCCTTGAGTATCTGAAGGATTTCTCATGGCTTACCTGTAGCCTTTTTAATGAATGTGATGGGTTTACTACATTCTTTAGTTATCTGTAGAGAACCAAAAACAAGGTATTTGGACATTAAAATAAGAAACACTAAGAAAAAATAACTTTTGAAAATATACTAATGGACATCCCTTGGTGTTCAGATATTTTCAAAGTCAAAAATATTTATTCAAATGAGCAGTTGAAAAATCTTTTCTAAGCAATTCCCATTTTACAGCAGTGGAACAGAAAGTGATTCATCTGGCAGCACCTCAAAAAATCGTAAGCCACAAAATGAGGAAAAGCCTGAATTTTAAGCATCCAAGGTTAGGTAATAGAAAACATCTTCATGAGGAAAATAGAATCTCATAATAGCCTTGTTTGGTGAGGTTTGTATACTTGGCATGAGCATTGTTCCCCTGCACTGGTATCCCCAAAGGAATAGAAAAATTTCTGCGTCTTTCTAAAGTATTCAACTACTACATCAAACAGTCTTGCAGGCTTGCTCTCCATTGTGTCTGGCCAAACACCCAGAGAACTTCACCTTGCATTATGCATGGCCCTCTAACTCCCTGTAAGTTTGAAAACACATGAAAAGTCTCTTCCTGCCATCCTAACTTCCATTCTCTTTGATGGATTACAACAGGGAAGCGGTTCCTTGCAATGGAGCAGGATTTTCAATCATGGGGAAATTTGGAGCTTCTGCAATTGATACTAAAATTATGATGCTGCCATCGTACCTCACTCAACAGGGGATTTGCAAAGGAAAAAAATAAAGATTCAGTACCAGCTCACTGTCACGCTGTGGCAAAGATAGTCTGCTGGAGTGTTGGGTCAGGAATTCAGCAGTCCTTTGCAGAAATTGCATTCAGCTTGAAATTCAGTTCATAGGATAGAGTCAAAACATGGAAATAGAAATTTAGATTTCTAGTTTGGGTTGATCAGTGATCAGTAGTTAAGCTGAAGCACTATAAACTCTGAGCATTTAAAATCAAGAGATTTTTAATATATCGAATACCTGAAAATAAAATTTCATTCTATCCAGGGTTTTAAAAAATCATAGTAAACCTTATTTCTTCATTCTCCTCTCCCCACTAAGAAATAGGAAAATAGCTCTTGGTTTTAAAGAATACAAAGCAAGAAATCTCTGAGCAAGGTACAATGACTAGTTAAAATAAGCAGCGGGCAGTTGTTCAAAGATAAATACTAAAATAGAAGCTTAATGATTCTTACAGTTACCACCTGTTACTACACCTCAATGTTGTGGAGAACAAGTCTGAACAACTCATTAACAGCTATCACTTATCGGCTACACACCGTGTGTCAGACATGTTTATGGATTACCTCATTCAATCCCCATGACAGCCCTATGCGGTAGATATTATTAGCCCCTTTTTAGATGAGGAAGCAGGCACAAAGCAGCTAGGGGACATGCCTAAAATCACCCAACTAGTCAGTAGCAAAGCAAGACTCTCACTCAGGTCTATTTGATTCTCATCTCAGACTCTCACCCACACTGCTACCTGAATTTAGGGGCAAGGGTGTAAATCTCTGGCTTTTAATTAGCAGTATCTATTACAGTGATGCTTTTTGAACCAGCTACGACAATAGTAATCATAGCAGAGATGAATATAGCACATACTACCTATCAAGCAATGCTCCGGGTGCTTGAAATCTATCAGTTTATAAAATCCTCGCAACAACCCTAAGAGGTAGGAAACTGAGCCACTGAGGGTGGAAGTAACTTGCCCCAGGTCACACAGTCAGCGAAATCTTAGGCGTCAGAGTCAAGCTTCAGACTCAGACAGCCAAGCTCCTGAGCCCCTGCTCTTGGCCACAACACTATATTGCTTAGTGAGGAGTTTTAATCTGGATACAGACTAAATTCATGCCCACATTTATGCCAAGTCCAGCCACATTCTGAAATGGCTCCACTACCTTAGCACAACTTATGAATTAAAGTGAAAGCTGAAAAATCGATGAAGTCCATGATCAATATGAACAACCTAATGTATTCTTGAATTATTCTGCTCAATTAAGTTTCTATTACAGAGTTTAATCCACATATCTGACAAGTAAAAGAGGAATAAAAATGATGGTTATGTGAGATTAATCAAATAAAGTGCCAAATGATTTTCAACAGCTGACACATGCATCTCAACACATTTAAAAAGATCTATTGCATGTGTGGATATATTTGCACAGGTCCACAAAGTGTATATTTGGTACTCTGTGCACAGAACATAAGCCTAGCTCAATATCTTTTTTGAACCACATGCAAATGTTCATTAACCTTATATGCAAGCATGAAATGTTTGATGTCACAAGGATCCCTCGAATCAGCCGTTGAAATAAATATATATACATATACACACACATATATATTTCTACGCCAATTTCCTAATGGTCTGAATGTTATCATATGTCAAGTTACTAAGATTTTTTATTATGTTAAAGATGTCATGTACTAATAAATAGCTAACAGCTTGTCTATTGTTTTCTTTCTCTCCAGGTATCCCCAGTATTTCCAGTATTGGTAGTAAGTAAAAAATCACCAAACCCAGTCTAGCCTAGCTTTGCTTTGTTGTTCAGCTCCTCAGATCTATTTTCCCAGTGTCCATTTCTGATATAATAGGGTACTTGCTTTGTGAATTGCATTTTTTTTGTGTTGGTTTTCCGCCCAGATACGCTGAGAGCACAGATAAAGTAGTTATTTATGCATAAGTCTTCTGCGGGCATGGCAGAGCCACTGCTTTCCTGACTGCTTTTGACCAATGAAGGCCACGGAGGTGCAATTACTTAGATGACCATAACTTATTTTAGCAAAAATATAATAGTCCTACTTACTCATACTTAGTAACCAACAAACAAATTGAACTCTCTCTCTCTAGGACTGACTGTGGATTTCCAACATAATTTAGAAAAGCAGAGAATGAATGCCAATGAATGCCTGGGGCATATTCATCAGAACTCAAGGCAAAGGCCATGAAACCAGGGAAAAGGAATTTTGTTAATATATTAAACTCTGGACTTTGTGAAGGCCTGAAAGAGGCAGATGTGTGAGCACTAGTCTTTCTGGAGGAATGAAGGAAAACGATAATCAGTACATCCATTTCTCCCTCCTAAATTACAGTGAGCCATGTCTCTGGGACTCCTTAGGTTTAAGGTTGATAGAGAAGAGCTATAAAAAATACATGCAGAATTTAGGATTCAGAGTGCTAGAAAATCCTGCTAGAAATCTAAGCAATTAAAGAGAAATCCCTCTTCAAGCCTTTGTGGAATACTTCTCCAGACTCCCTGCAAAGAACATTCTCCCAGCTGTCGTGGGAGAGCCAGTCTGTAGCTCCCTGTTCACACACACAACAATGATACCCTAATACCAAACCTGAAATGCTTGTGAGAAAATGTCTAATAACTTTCCAGAGCAGAATTTTACATATTTTTGTATATTGCACCCTTTATCTCTGATGGCTAAAACCTTGGAACAAAAGCTGAATAACTGATTAGAAATAAAGTACTGAGGAAGCCAAGATTATGCACTGTCAGTGAAGAGAAGAATTTTCACTGTGGTGTCACCCTTCACAGGCCCGTGTTATAGGTGCTGTGCCAGGCAGGGTGACCGCAGTATAAATAGCAGTTGAAGAATTGCAACACCCAATATCCATGTAAAAAGCAATACTCTGATAATTTGGATAAAACAACTTCCCACTTCTTGTAAATGCACAGTCAGGTCTTCCAATTTATAAATCAACCCAGTTTACCTAAGCTTGTGAGTAGGCCTGGACACTGATTTGTTAAGAACTGAATGTGGTAAATGCCATGAAAATTGGCCACTTTGTAAATAGAAACAGTGTTCACATCCATTTAAATACCAGCCTAATGCTACACATCCCCTTTGTGATCTTGTTGAAACAGCATCAGTTTTATGAACTTGCAAATGAGAGCCTCAGCTCTGATAGTCTAATTTTTCTGCTTTAGTATCCTCCTTCGCATTTGCCTAACTGTATATATACCCCACAATGTGCTCCTTTCGGGCCTTGACAATTGCATTTGCACATGCATTTTAGAACAACAGGGAACCAAACAGAAGCAAGCGGAGACAAATTATGGAGGCTGCTATAGTGTCTGGCCTGTCAAAAGTTTCAGAAATGGATGGATGGAAAAGTAGTTCTTTGGCGTTGGGGTGTCTTTCTGTTTGGAGTGTCAGTTGTGTGTTGCATGGACCCTCTGACTGTCCTGCTCACTCAACATCCCATTCGGCCGCCTCCACCGCATCCCCCATCTCTGAGCATCAGCAGATGTTGACCTTTAACACACCAAATCGGGAAATTCCAGTTTGGTTTTGCTTTGTTTTATTTTGAAATCAGTGGTGACCTGAAAGGATGCTTTGTTGTGCCTTTGGAAAATGTATTAACCTTTATTGTCAGGAACCTAGGAAAATTTAACTCCTAATACCTAACAGAAACCCTCCGACTAAAAGTGATAGTTTGTAAGCCACCTTTAGTATGCCTCTGGCTGTTCTGCTTGGAGTTTAAAGGGTGTTTTCTCAGATTTCCAGCAAGCAGGATGTAAGAGCTTCCAGGGGTCACCCAACATCACACGGGGCTAGTTTGCCTGTTGCCTGGCTTTTAAGGTAAAGTGATTTACAACAAAACCATCAAACATGATTCTATTTCCTAGGCTACTTTAATGGCGTTCCTAAGTTCCTTCTTTGTGGACTTGCTTGCTCTACGCACCGGTGGATTCCTTTCCTCTCCAAAGGGCAAGAATTCACGTGTAGATGACTCACTGCCTGTTCTAGAGGGCATGGGAGTGGGGTTTTCAAGGTGCAAGCCAGAGAAGAAGGGGCTGCTTGGATTTTTAACCAAGTATGGGTGTTTGCCAGGGCTTTTCCCTTTACCCCAAAGAAGGAAACAATGAATGTAATTCCACGACTGTATAGGAAGATACCATTGTAACAGATGTAACACCCATGAGATTCTGATCATCAATGTGTATCTCAAGGAAAATAAATGATGTTTACTATCAATGTAAGTTATTGATGTATGTAACCATAAGTTTACATACATGTGCTATATACAGAGACTAAAGGCTTTGGAGACCTAATAGATTTCAGTAGAGATCTCAAAATGCCATCGCCTATATTAAGGTTAAATGCATGGACAGAGCAGTCATCCTTTCCGATCATCTGCTAAAAATGTTTTTGAAAAAAATTTTCCATTAAGGTCATTTGTACCTGCTGTTGTCTATCTATTAAGAAATAGGCTTTCCAATCATCCCAAGGGTACTTGATTTAAAACTCAGTCATTTTGATGTGCTTTGGCCATGGCTGAAAAAACATTGGTGATATTGTCAGCAATTAATGAATCCCAAAATAGATCTGTAGCCATTTGAGCTATGACTTTTGACTTTACCAGATGTGGTAGTAATTCATTCAGATTTCCTTTTTTATAAAATGTATTAGGCACTTACACGTAAACATTCACAATTTTATCCAGTAAACATTTGTCGATGCTGATATTCCAAATTAATAGTTGGCTTGGCATGGGTGTTTTTGTTAAAGTGATAAACTGATCATTACCTTATAACATATATGATCTGATCTTTGGTCCTGAAAAGCAAATTATTTCACAAATTATACTATTTAAGTATATCCTAAAGAGCATAATTAGACCATCAAGAATTGGCCTAATGTGCAAAAAGATTTGTGTGGGTGATCATCACTCTTTCAAAAAGCAGACGGCAAGTGGGTTAGAGGTTAAAGGTAGACCAACCACAAAATGAAAGATCACATCAAGATAGATCATTTCAAAAGACTCGGATTTTTTAAATAAACAGAAATATTTCTTAGCATACCAACAAAAGAAAAGAGAGATGCAAACATTTTGTGAACCTGACTGTAGATCATTTTCTTAAATTACTTTCAAATGACTGGCATGATGGTATTAACATATAAAACATAGAATATTGATGGAGGTGTTTGGCTATCCCTTTCCCTGATCCCCAATGTACTCAATTTAAAACAACATTTCAGGCCGGACGCGGTGGCTCATGCCTGTAATCCTAGCTCTCTGGGAGGCCGAGGTGGGCGGATTGTTTGAGCTCAGGAGTTCGAAACCAGCCTGAGCAAGAGTGAGGCCCCGTCTCTACTAAAATTAGAAAGAAATTAATTGGACAACTAAAAATATATAGAAAAAATTAGCCGGGCATGGTGGCGCATGCCTGTAGTCCCAGCGATTCGGGAGGCTGAGGCAGGAGGATCGCTTGAGCCCAGGAGTTTGAGGTTGCTGTGAGCGAGGGTGACGCCATGGCACTCTAGCCCGGGCAACACAGTGAGACTCTGTCTCAAAAAAAATAATAATAAAAAATAAAACAACATTTCACTCAAGGGAAATATCCCATTTTCTTGTTTTCTCTTATAATAAGCATTTCCTTCATCACAGAGGTAAAAATTCATCTCTAATTTGATTTAATTGGCAGGACTGTTAAACAAGGGAAATGCTACCTGCGGGAATCCATCAGCCTGTTGAGAAAGCCCAGAGATGTTTTCATACTTTAAAACATTTGATGCCAGTTGGAGACCATGTAAAAGTTGTTTTCCATACAGCATCCAAATATTTTTGTGCGGTACCAATTTATTGTAGAAACCTGGATCGTGAGGAAAATAACAAGGTTAATCATTTTCCCACCCAAGGGTTATTAATAATCATGTTCATGCTATCCAGAGAGCTGCGGTGTTTGTTTGGGTTTTTTTCCCCTTTGCTTTAATACTTCTAAATCCCCCAAATAAAAGTTTCATTTAAATTGCCCTTTAGCTAATTAGGTTTTATATAATGAGGAAAAAAATTATCAGGCTAGTGTAGCGACATGGCAAATTGCATGGTGTGCTACATTAATTTTGAGCTGTTTGCTGATGTTCTAGAAGGAAAGCTAAGGTCCCAGGTGAAATGCCTTTGGGACTGCTACATCGTGTAACCAGTATCCGTATCACGGAACCATTTCGTATTTGTGTAACTAGCATTTCACATTCATGAAGCCATGTGGTTATCCTAAAGTTGAATGGACATTAGGACGTAGCTGCCTCTTTAAACCTGAAGAACAAATCAAATATTCCAATGGAGGAGGGGGAAAGAATCTCCCACTCAAAAAAAAAAAAAATATGAGATGTTCACTAATCTTTATTGACAATTGCTCACCTTGAACAAATTAAATTTTTCATGTATTAACCTTTCCCCAGGTGAACTTAGAATGCAAAGCCACTTTTTTAAGTGTGAGCTGATATCTCTGCCTTTGCTAGTTATCTCTGTTGGGTAAGGAAATTCCTAGCTTAAATGAAGATTTGCCAAGTTCTCCAAAAGGTCACATTATGAAACTTAAAACATGTTAACTGTGAATCCCCACATGGTAGCAGTCACCTCAAGGGTGTGGGTATCAATTGAAGTCTTCTTCGGCTGTCATTGGAGAGCTGTCCAGCTAGCCACTCCACTTCCTGGAAAAGCCAGGCAGAGCTTTTTGCTTGGAATTGTAGGAAGATGCTCC